CTGACTTCCGACTAGCGCCAGACCGACAAAGACGATGAATTGAATCGTTTTGCACACGCGCTCATAGAGCGAATCCCGCGCAAACCGTACATCGTGAAGTGTGATCTGGAACCAACACGACCACAATATGCCAAAGAAACCGATGTATGCCAGCAGATAGTCGATGTCGGTAATAGAGTGGTAGGCTGTAAAAGTCGCAAGATTGGCAACGAAGAACAAATCGAAGAAAAGTTCCACGCTATTCGCTTCGTGCCGTTGAGAGAAGACGAGGTGTTCGTGATCGGCACCAACTAGCGGGGATTCGATAAACGGTGTTGTCTTGTGCAGCCGTCTCAGATGCTTTTCCGCATCAACATCGCGTTTGTGGCCGTGAAAAGTCCAGCCCATGATGCCAATTTCCCTCAAAGTCGATGGGAAACAACCACAACTCAACTCCAACGGTCAGGAAAGGAGCAGCGAGGTTAAATCAAAGACAGACGGACAAGACTACCAAGACAAATACGAGCTGCTTTCGGCGCCGCAGTGAGTCTTATGCAAATCCCAATTCGCATACTACACGCGACACGAGATAGCCCCGCAAGCTATGGCGCATGTTCTATCTTGGGGCTGGAGGCCCAGGCCGGCGAGTACGGTTCCGCCTTGAGTCCGCTAGCAACGGTACCAATAGCACCGCATAGCGGCGCGTTACACGGTGGGCGCTGGCGGAGCACGCATGGCGGGTTAGGTCGTGCTAAGCCGGAGGAAGCTTTCACCACCAAGCCTGCGCGGGTCGGGCTCAGCAGCAAGCCAGCGCAACAATGCTGACAACGCTATCGTGAATCGGAAGAGCACAGATGCTGGAGTACTGGTTGTAGCGTACGTCGGTCCAATCATTGCCTCCACGTGAGGCTTGGCGCGCTGGTGTGTCGAATTAGACGGTGTGGAAGATAGGAGAGTCAGCTCAGCCCTGAGATCCGTAGACGGGCCGCTAGCGGTGCAGGCGTCCAGCGTCGAGTCTATGGCGGAGGTGCATCGCCAGCTAGCCTCTTCGTAAGACGAAGTCATCGCTGCAGCAGTTGAAACGCATCTTTTTGTCGTGCATTGGTAGAGGTGCTGCAGTAACACTCGTACGCAGCTCACGATCACCCGTCCGCAGCCGGTCAGCTCGGCTTTCTACGTTGCCTCTACAGCCCTTTCGCATCCACAACCTCTTCTCGGCAACCATCAAACCTCACCAAGCCGGCGTTGCGCAGATATTACTTCCTCCTCGCTCCCGGTCTTACACATCCCACTCGCCCTCAAAATCTCACAATACTGGGCCGACCGTGGTACCCGATGATCCAGAGGTGCATGCTCATGCATCTCACGCCCCATCTTCAACAGCTCGCCTGATGTGCTTACATGAGGCCCGCTATTTGCAGACGGGAGGAACCGCAAATACAGCCATTCTGACCCCCATTCAGTAAGCATACCGAGCTTGCCTCACCCATGGGAAAATCTCACAGGTCGTCATATGTCCCCCGACATGGAAAACATTGTTTGCCTGTAGTCTCAGCAAGTGTCACAATGAATGTTCAAGAATATTGATAATGTATTGGCTGAAACCGCAACCAGCAAACGATTTCTAGATCCGCCATATGAACGCCGCGCTGATAGACAAGACAAGGTTTGGGGGGCCTTAGCCATGCAAGTATGCTGTAAAATGCACTAAGTACGATGAAGTCTTCACTTCCGTATCAGACCAGTCCGTTCATTCGCGCCCTCGCCAATCTCCTCCTCTTCATCTTCGTCTTCCATATCATCCTCGCTCCATCCTTCGGCTTCCAGTCCATCGCCACGAATGCCGAAGCTTAAGATGAAACCGAGGAGTGCGATACCAGCGAAAATACCAAAAGGCAAAGCTTCACCTTTGGGCTTCAGCTTGGTAGCGGCTGTGAAAAGCGAGCCTGACACGAACGGTCCAGCAGCGCGACCAGCAGCAGAGAGCGTCTGAGCGAGGCCATTCAGCGTACCGAGCACGTTGTGATTGGGTGCGGAGTTGGTGATCTGCATAATGTCAGCATCCGTAGAGCGCGTCATGTTGGAATTAGAGTAACTTACCATAAGGAGTGCAGCTGTCAGGCCGCCGACACCTGCAATCGTTTTGATAACCAGCACAACGCCGAGCTCAAACCACAACCAACCAGCACCCGTACCAATGCCCTTGTATCCGTTGCTCTCTTTGTAGCCCACAAACGGCATGAGACCGAAGGCTGCAATGAACAGCCCTAAGCTGACTCTGTACCCCATCTTGTTGCCCATCTTGTCTCGAAGCCTGCCAAATATGCCCACCTGGAACAGTATCGTTATAGCGCCTGCGAATGACAGAGATAGTCCGACAGCCTCAGGCTTCAGCCCGCGTCCGGTAGGTGGTTGCTCTTCCGCGAAGATCGGATACAGAGAATTGTAGGAGATGTTAGCGAGCTGGAATATGAAGTACGTTATGAGAAGCAGGACTGTGTCCCGGTTCAGGATCTCCTTCCGTGTAAGTTCGTCGCCGCTACTGTGTGGGAATAGTGTAGGCGCAGATTCCTCAGAGGCGTCGGATGCGTCGTCCTCGTCTACATCGTCCACACCACCGTGTGAGTTGTGGGTTTTGTGATTGCCTAGGAGGCGTCGTACGTAGGTAGGTCGCGTGGAGCTCGAGAACTGCCACATCCATGAGAACAAGTTGCCCAGTCTCTTTCCGAGAGGTGGCAGATTCTTGGCTTCTTCCAAACTCTCCTCCAAGAAGAGCATACACACTATCAGGTCTATCGCGAGGACGAGGGCCGAAAAGAGGTTCGGGAGGAGGTACGGGTAGGGATTCGACTGGCTCTTGTTGAACGGGTTCTGATAAAGCACCAAGAGTCCTCCTACGATCGGTCCCGTTATGCCACCGATACCGTAGACGACGGGCAGATAGGTAAATGCGCGCGATTGGTTGCTTCGATCCGTAATCTCGCCCAAACACGTCGACACAACGCCAGAGTTTCCGTTGACCAAGCCCATCAGGGCCTGCACGAGTATAGCTTGCCATAGCTCCCTGCAGAAGCCAAAGGCCAGAAAACAGCACATGGTCAAAAATGTGCCCGTGATTATTACCGGCTTTCGTCCGATCTTGTCCGATAACCAGCCCCAAAAGAAATTTGTTGTGAATTGTGCCAACGCGAAAGACGACGCGATGAGTCCGACGTATAGACCTGTCTGTCCATCCTTGACAGCGGAAAACGATTTCGTCATCTCAGGCAGATAAGGGCCTATTGAGTTGAGCGCGGTTTGCTCAGCGAGAGCTATGACAGCTAGCACGATGAGCTGCTTCGTCGGTAGGGGCTTTTCATGGTGGGTATGGCTGCCGTCTTCGGATCGGTTGCCATCTTGACCGGACGGGGCGTCAGATGGTGGTCGGCCGCGGGATTTAGGGGGGATAGTTGGGAAGGTCGTGTAATCTACATGGGGATGTACCAGTCAGTATATGTCTCCTATCTATTCCGTATAGGATGTTACCTACGAAGCGTTGACCTGCGCGCATCAAGGCCTGGCCGGGTTGATGGCATCGTCGCGGAATGTACTACCTCTGTGAGGCCGAATTGCTATAACGAGCTTTCGCATGCATTGGGGCGCAGGGCTGTTGCTGGTTATGTGGACACTAACGCGCAAGGCTACACAAGAATGTCAGGTAACTCTATAGAGGCGCGATTTGATGATGGGGTTCTCGAATGCAGGAGGCTGAAAGATACCGATTGCTGTGCAGATTTCAAGCTGGGATCACGCGCGGCTCAAGCTACGTCATTATCGCAGGAACCCGCTGGCTTGGCGCGAGATCTACATCCTCGATGCTGCCTCTCGATCACGTCTCTGACTAATCATTGTTTCCTTCACATCTTCTCTTCATGTCGACCTCGTCTTTTGATTAGGCAGGTCTGATTGACATACGTTGCACTGTTTGCGACAACCCGCTGGCCTACCCAACGACTTCACAAACACAGATCCCAGGACGTGTCTTCATCTCGGTGCACATCAAGCCATGTTCGCATGATGCGAACGGGCCAGGTGAAGCTTGGGAAGTGCGACATGCAGTGTGCATGCCGGTCGGCAGAGGAGGCTGGCGAATTCAGACACAGGACCCGGATGCGATCGTCTAAGCCGGTCCGCGAAAAGAAATATAGAATCATGCTGGAGCGCGACTACCTGGGACCACGCTAGACGCACATCGACATTGCTGGCCCGAAGTACTCTAACTACATGCATGCATCGCGGCACCTGCTCGATCATCTGGCAACCGCGTCGCGGACAGGCACATGACATATCCAAAGACCCGGAATCGACTTCCTTGGCATGCTGCGATACCAGAAACCCATGATACCCCACATTCCTGATTAATTATCGAAAGGGCTGACCGCTCATCCTCAATCTATTACGCCCTGGCGGCTCGCCAAAGCTATTGGACACCTCGCGAACACTGAAAGCTGACTGGCGATACAAGTCATCGGTGGATGCGAATTGTCAAGATGATCAGCAGTCGCTTAAACCAGTGTAGTTGAAATCTTCGCAACTCGCTCATATCTTCTCAAACATTGGATGCCTTACGAAGTTGTTCGTTCTCGACATCGGAGGTGTGTGATCTTCGCATCCGCCTGATCCTCTTGTACCTCAATCATTGCTCGGCGAGGCTTATGAGCGCATTAGAACCAATACAACCACGCGACTTAGATTACACTGCAGCCAAAGTGCTGGCTCCGGGCATCCATGTGGAGATTTCGGTTTTAAGATGTTCAACGAAATTCGGAGTATAAAAGTCTAGTGAATTCCTCATAGAAACGTCAAATAGTCAGAAGACCCAGTTCAGAGCCGCAGGTACACCGCGGCCTTTGTTTGAAGGCCTCTCTTCTACTTAGGTCCCCACTTGGTTGCCCCTTCAGATCTCCTCCTACTTCTGAATTGCTACTTCTCGTCCACTCTCTTCTGCACATCACTATCTTATCAACTACAAATCTCCAAACATGCGATACTCCACCCTGCTCCCGGCTCTGTTAGCCATACGCTCAACTCTAGCAAGACCAAGCCAACCCGAGATCGCCAACACCACAACCCTTCCCACTCATTTCGGTCTACTCACATTCCCACACTTCCAAGCTCTCGACATCTTCGGCCCCATGGACGTCCTTAACTCACTCTTCATGTACTACCGAAACACATCCATTGTGCCGCAGTTTACAGTCTTCAGCAAGACCATGGATCCGGTGACATCGGCCATGACGGATGGAGGCTTTGGCCAGGAAATTGTGTCCACTATGACATTCTCGGACTATCTTGTGAGTTATGATGGTCGTGTGAAGTGAATACGACTAATTGGAAGAAGAACAAGCAAAACGACATTGGTGGTGGCGCCGTACCGTCCACGTCAGACAAGGGCGCAATCGATGTCCTCTTCGTCCCCGGCGGAGGAGGGACTCGTAGAGACATGACTGAGGAGATCAACTTCGTCAAAGCCACTTACCCAAACGTATGTACTCATCCCCTGCCTATCCCTACCGATCACTAACAAGCTACCTCACAGCTCAAATACATCGTCTCCGTCTGCACCGGCGCAACAATCCTCTCTCGCGCAGGCATTCTTGATGGCCGCAAGGCAACCACGAACAAGGCTGCCTGGCCCTGGGCTACATCGACCGGTCCCAACGTAGACTGGGTACCGACTGCGCGATGGGTCGAAGACGGCAATATTATCTCGACCAGTGGAGTTTCTGCAGGTATCGATGGAACGTATGCGTTTGTCAGTCGGGTGTACGGGGAGGAGGTGGCGCATTTCCTGAGTTTGGCTTTGGAGTATAACCGTGAGACGGATGCGCATCATGATCCTTTCGGCAAGATTTGGGACGTTCCGGGTGCTACTTAGATCGAGATGTATCACGGGAGGAACAGAGTACTGGTGGGATGAGACTGGGCGGCGGGTGAACAGATGCGCTAGGCCGGTTCAGCCGCACGGCGTATGCATGTGTCTGGAAAGCCTGCTTTTCCCTCAGCCTTCTTGACAATCACCGTTTGCCCCTCTTCTCCTCTTTTCTCTCGTACACCTCTGATTCTCATATCCAAATGTCTTCATCATCGCAAACCCCCCATCGCCCATACCTACCTTTTCGTGGTATAGAAAACGATGACAAAGCATTTCTGCCACTGAACCCCGACCTGAGAGAGATACGATGCGTCATCCTGCTCCCTGGATCTGGAGACGACCCCATCGAATGCGAGCTTGTGTATACCAACATAGAAGAGGGGTCTGATTCTCGCATACCTTACGTCGCGCTATCGTACTGCTGGGGAGATCTTGAGGATCCCGCTGAGATCCTGTTGCATAACAATTCTTCGACCAGCGAAAGGACTAGTGCGTCCTTTCGAGTTACGCGAAATCTTCACATCGCGCTCCAGGCCATACGGAACAAAACCAGACAATGGCTATGGATAGATGCCCTATGTATCAATCAGCTAGATCCACGAGAGAAGACACATCAGGTGCAATTGATGGGAAAGATTTACTCTTCGGCTGAATCGGTGTTAGTGTGGCTTGGACCAGATGATAAGAACAGCCAGTTCTTTTCAAGAGCATGGACGGTACACATACAGCCTATGGTTAACGGTCACGATCCTGGGGAAATGCTTAGACTCTGGGAAAGACTGCGTGATAACAAGAACCAGACATGGACGTATATGGCGCGCGACGAAGTGCTCAGTCAGCTCGGAGTTACTTACAGAAATGGGATGCGCGACAACTCCTCGCCTGACCTATGCAGGACGGCAATCTCTACCGGTCTTTCTAGTCTCGCTAATCGACCTTGGTGGAGTCGAATATGGGTGTTACAGGAGGTACTTCTAGCTCCTAAGCAAAAGGGCTTCGGACGCAATGTCGAATTCAGAGTCGGTCATACTAAATTGCGATGGTTCGACATGTTGCTACCTAAATGGACAGTGACACAGGGTGGATACACCCACAGGACTTCGCACGAGCATAACCCGCTCCAATCGTTCGCGTGGGATTCACTGTTGTCCAAATACGGATTGTACTCATACGTCAAACTCGAAAAGCTGCTCCAGTGGACGAGGACATTCCAGGCTTCAGATCCCCGGGACAAACTCTTTGCTCTACTTCCCCTGGCTTCAGATACCAAAGATTGCTTTTGGAAAGAGCCTCTGATCAACCCAGATTACAGTAAATCGCCAAAGGCTGTTTTTGACGACTACGTACGTTGGAACCCACTTGCAATGTTCGGCGACCTCTACGTGGAAGGGATAGGAAAGATCGAGATAAATGGCGATTCGGATTGGTCGAAAAGGGAGTGTGGATTCTGCCGTCTTGGTACGTGCAAGAACTGCAGTGTACGCTATATTTAAGAAATACAAACCTAGTCCAAAGAGACAGGAAGCTCCAGAAAAGTGGAACAAAGCGTATGAGGCGCACGTCAAGAGGCTTAACCATCGCCATCGTATCTTCGCGGACGGTAATTTTGCGTGAGGGTAAAGCATGGCTATACTTCGTAAGAGAATAAAGTCGACGCCTAATCAGAGTCCACAACGCAGTGGTAGAACGGATGTATAGGGTATATAGTAGCAGAGCTATACCTAGCCCTTGAGATTCAGTAGATGAACAATAACTGTTGGGAACGTAGGCTCGCAACAACAACAATGACCAAAGAATAGACGCAGTAACAAGGAGTATCAAAGAGAGAGGCATAAGATCGCGATATCCTGACGCGAGCACAGCATTACCATGACACATTGAGTATCAAGCATGTACTTACCTTTACACCGGTGCGAAATTTATGTACTTACGGTCAAGTCTACAATGAGCATGGTGAGAAACCATCAATGCAAGTCAAACAGACAACGATACACAAATGAGTATCCTAACATCAGTAGAGCGCACGTCTAGGGGTAGCATACCATCATCACAGCCGACTGCGGACGTTCTATTTCCAAAATTCGCATTAATGACAACATTCTAATGTACAGCTTCAGGAGCTTACTGACCTTTTGAGCCCGTGGCAATACCATCTGGGTGACCGTCCCATAAACATTCCTCTTATTGGCGACATGAACCTGGTCGAATGTTCGATCATCCAGGCTCTACTGCAGGCGGACACCAGCAGTACCCTTCTTCTTCGCCTGATCATCAAACGCATTCCCCAACCCACCACCCCCACTCCTACTAGCCTCAAGCGAACTCTCAGCCATCTTCTTCTTCTCAGCAGCAACCTTGTCAAGTTGCTTCTTCGTCTTCGTGTTTCCACTACCCTTGCCGTGGAACTGGTGACTGAGCTGCTTGAAGGCTTCTTTCTGGTTCATGTGGCGGCCGTGTTCGTCAACATACTTGAGCTCAATGTTGGGCGTGTACTCCTTGTTAAAGAGCTCAGCGAGACGGCGACTCTCGACCATCTCGGCGCTCGTGTTGTTTTTGCGGGCCCATTCTTCGCGCTCGCGCGGCGTCATGTTGTTCCAGCGGGCGGAACCTCGTTCGCGCTCACGGGCGATCTTGCGTTGGCGCTCGGCGTCATCTTCGGCCTTTTTCTTGTCGGCAATGAACTTTTGGCGGTCGCGGTACATCGCGTTCTTGTCGGAGGCGTCGGATTCTGTGACCAGACCTCGTTGCTTGAGCAGGGCGAGAGTGGCACCCATACCTTGGTCGACAGTCTTCTCTGCCTCGAGACCTGTCTCAGTAATGTCGGTGGAGCGAGCGCGCGAGATGCTGCGGTTTCGGGCCTCTTCTGCTTCGGCTGCTTCAGCGTAGGATTGGCCCATTTCGACATCGCCGTCTTCATCAGCGACGGGCATATCGCCCATGGACTTCGTGCCCTCCGAGATGTGGCTGGACTTTCTACGCTTCCGGCGGGCTTCCTCCTCGTCGGCATCGCCTGCAGCACCTAGATTTTGTACGAACTCGGTTGTTTCGTCAATAACAAGGCCGCCATCACCATCTTCTGTGGATTCCATAACGTCTGGCTGGGGTGTTGATGCGTCTTCACGTAATTGCCGTGCAAGATCTTCCGGTCGCATCTTCTTGCGCTTCTTGAGGGCCTTTTGGCGCTGTGCTGCAAGATTCGCTTGAAGGTCGTCGTCATCCACAAACGACTCGTCGAACACCTTCTTCTTCTTCTGTTGTGGTGCGGAGGATTCACCACCGTCAATGTCCATGTCGTCGCCAGCTGCAGTGTCTTCCGCAGGCATGGCAAGCATTTCCTCATCATCTTCGACGCGTTCTCGCTTGGATTTCTTGCCCTTCTTCTTCTTAGGCTTCTTCATCTTGACTTCCGACACGTCCATGTAATCGTTAGTGGGCGCGTCCTCTTTGAGTATGTCTAGACTGATCGCGACCTTCTTTGGTCTTGAAGAACCTGCGACTTCAGCCTGCACGTCTTCAACAGTTCGGCCCTTCCCGTCCAATGTGAACGCATTGCGCTTCTTGCCCTCAATCTCCTCGTCGTACTGTGCAAGTATCGACTTCTGGCCTCCCTCGTCCATATCGTTGGGGTCGTATGCGCGCTTTCGCTTCTTCGAATCGAGTCGCTCTTGTAGTCGCTCCTTTTCTCTGAGTTCAACCGCCTCTAGCTCGTCATCGTCTTCCCCGTCGACTGCAGTGTCTTTGAGAACAAGGATCTGATCTTCATCGTCGAACTGGTCGACCTCGTGTCCAACTTTGACACCAGCAAGGTCCTTGTCGGTATATTGCATGGCCTCGAGTGCCTGACGCTCGCGCTCTTCGAGCTCCTTGCGCATCTGCTCCTCCTTGGCGATCTTCTTCTGGCGCTTCTTGCTGCTCTTCAGCCAGGCCAGGTCATCGTCGACGTCTGCTTCGTCCGCCAGCCCCTTGCCCTCAAGCTTTGCAAAGCGCGCCGCCTTTTCGCGCTCCTTCTTGATCGCCGCGGCGCGTTCTTCACGTCTTATCTTGGCCAGTCGCGCTTCTTCCAACTTCTTCCAGTTGTCCGAAGCGGCGGCCTGGCGCGTGTCGATGGTGCTCGCAGGCTCTTCGTCCGAGTCGTCGCCATTTTGCGCCGCCTTGAAATCGAGGCCGGGGGCTGCGGGTGCTGCAGGCGTGCCTCCACCGGGGAGAGCAGAGAGACCCATAGACAGACGAATCTTGTTCGCCTCATCGATGGATAGGTCCGCCATGGCTGATGCGGTCGTGATGTCCTGTCGCAACGCAGAGGTTTATGGTCCTGGAAGGAAGGTTGTGACGGCGCCGGAAGTTCGGGATCTTCAATACACTTTCGAGCAGTGTACAGAAGTGGTGGTCGCAAAGAGTGAAAGCACACTTGATATTCCCCAAAGGTGAAGTTCGGTGATGAGTGCCTACTCGTGACCTGCGGGCAACATCGCACCTCCGCCCACACATTTCCCGCCAAGCCGCTACCCACTAGCGCGCCGGCGTTCAGCCGAGCGACATAAAAAAAGTTGCGCGCCCTCACCCATCGAGTTCTCACCACAACGCCCTGTGTCAACGTCTCCTGTCCACGTCCTTTCGGGGAGCCGTGTGATGGTTGAGATGTTGACAGTTCGTCCATCATGGAGCCTTCTTCCTCAATAGAACGCTTCGGACGACAGGCAGCGCAGAGCAACTTTGGCAGCTTCCGGCAGCCTGAGCTCACCGTTCACGCGGTTCGAGCTCGGTGTATGGTTGTCTGTCAGGCAGACTGATTCCGTTTCCCTTTTGCTAGGCCGTTGGCCACTGATGCTTGGGACTAACCCAGTCGGCTACATGCCATCTTCATGAGTGACGTTTGAGCGATTGCGCAGCTTTGCGCTGGTTGATCGTGAAGCCTGATAACTTTCCATGCGACTCACTCAAAAAGCGCGACGGACGCGTTTACGCGTTTTAGAGGAATTGCATCATGCGCGAAGTCATGTGAATGCACTTGATTTGCGAAACATCCCTAGACGCATATTTGAGAATGAAAGCCGTCCTCTGCGCAGAAGCCGCTACCCCATGCATCAATGAGCACCAACATGTCAAAATCATTGGGCACAAGGGCTCGTATTGACGTCGTGAGTATGCCATACAATATACATATGTTACAATATCTCAGCCTTGAAGCCGCTAGATTGCAGTCCAATTGCTGTGGAAGACCACATAGCCTCCTCGTGTTTCTCATGTCAATCCTTCGTGACTTCTCCCAGACTACACACTTAGTTGGCAGCCGGTGCCTCACCCCTCGCCAACTTGAGCAGCTCAGCCTCTCTCCGCTCCTTGATCAACTTCTCCCTAACCAGCACTCTATCCGCCTCCGACCTCTCCTTGAACTCCTCAATCTCCTTCATCTCAGCGAGCTCCTCCTCCGTTGGCTTGATCTCCACTGCGCCTATCTTCTCCACCAGTGCCTCTAAGATCTCGCTCTCCGACTGGTCTCTCATGTCAATCGAAAACGTGGGTTTCGAGGTATCGGGTACGAGCGTATTACGCGGGTTTGGTGTTGCGGATGGCGGTGAAGCGTCTGATTGTTGCGTTGTGGGAGAGTTTGTGGAGCCAGTCGATGGTTGTGTTTTGGTTGCTGTGAAGATGTGGAGGAGTGAGGGACCATCGGGATCGTTGTGTCGCGCGACTTCCATTGGGATGGATGGGTTACGGTATTTCATCCGGGGCAGCATATTGCGCCAGAATTTCCTGTTCGTACAGTGAGCGCTAGATCTTGTCATTGCGTACAATTGCCAGCTCTCAAACATAGTGCCTGAATTGGCTTCATATTCTTGGCCCTCCTTTGGTACTTGTAACGGAGCAATGCCCACATACCTTGCCCCTCTATGTCCTCCGTAGAGTTTTGTGTTGAATTCCATGCTAATCTTCGACACCTCTTTGGGCAGTATGAGCGCGCCTGGTCCGCATCTTATCCATAATAACTGTCGCAGATACCAATGTCAGCATTGTTACAATTCAGGTATCTCGAGTTGGTCGGGTTCGATTGTAGGCTTCGACGTTTTCGGAGGTGTCTGCGGAGGTGAATCTTACGTACGTGCTATGGCGCTTGTTAGTCTTGCCGAACGAGTAGACATGCACGAAGATTAGCTACTTGCCTCGCGTAACTTGCGCATGCGCTTCAATATGTGCACCATGGTTGCTGTGATGTGATATTGGACTGGGGTTGCGGAGTTCGAGAGATTCTCGGGCATTGCCCGTAGCGCGATCGTGTCTTGGCAGCCCTGCAGATGAGATGCATCAACTGTTCACTCAAAAAAGAACATTCTGTATGGATAGTAGTATAACTGAGCATTACAATGATTGAACGCCTTCCCAGGTATCTGAGCTACATTATTCTTCCACTACACACATCCAGATCTCCATCTCCATTTGCCGAGTACTTCCACGAGCCAGACCAGGACATGTCCAATCCCAAGACTGTATTCGCATCGCTCTGTTGGGTATTATCTGAGATCGCGCACAATGCTTATCACGTTCCTGTTGTGCGACTCTAGTCTACAGGAAGCAGGAGTGTAGGCGTTTACCGAGCAGGTTGTGCGGCGGCGGCACGCGTCTCTGCGGGAGTTGGTCCCGCCATGCGCTTGCTCCTGTAATTGGGATTAGTATGTGTGTTTCATCTCAGAGTAATTCGGCTTACATGAACGACCTGCTGAGGAAGGAGATGATGATCATGGGCATCCACGAGGGCATCTTGGAGAATCCCCAGGTGACGTATGCGTAAGGAATGGCAAGGTTGTACTGCTGGAGAGCACCGTTGAAGGGGTGGAAGGGACCCTCGTATGGGGTGACTTGCTCAATCTCGTTGTCAACGATGAGCTTCTTGAAGGTCTCGGTGGTGGTGCTGGTGCGGTTCAAGGGCTTGTAGCGAACGACGGGGACGGGCGCGGACTGGTCAGCCATGGGCTTGGGAACCTGGAAGTAGTAGAGCGCCGGTGCGCCGACAGACCATGCGTTGCAGAGGAGAGGCTCGGTTTCGCAGTCAAGGTACGCAAACTTGGGCGCATCAGGCTTCGCGGCCATGATGGGGAGAGAAGCCTGGTTGATGTTAGTGTCGGTCATCTGTATATCCGCATGCTATACGTACGTTCCATGCCTTGGTTGCGTTGCCACACAGGCCAAAGCAGGTGGTGTTGCCGCCGGTGGTGAAGATGAGCCAGTCCTGTGTGGTAGGAGGGCTGGCGGTAGCATCAACAGTAAGCGTCTCTTTCCAGTTCTCCAGGGTAATTGGGTACTGGATGGCGGCAGCTGCGTTGGAGGCCACCTTGCTCGTTGCGGTGTCGACTGGCGCCGACGGCATAGAGGGGATGGATGCGGACACGGCAGCCGTCGCCTTGTTGAAGAAGCCCTTCACCTTGTCAAGGAGAGGAACCTGCTCCTCGGCGACAGCGAGCGCCGGGAGAGCGAGAACGAGGCCTGATGAGAAGCGCATGTTGATTCTGTGTGGGGGGAGGTGTGGTGTTGAACTGCGAAAGCTGCGGGCGGTATGCTTGCGCTCTTCTGCCTGATGATGCCACAGGGTCCAATTGGAGCGACGTTGAAGTAATGTGGGGGATGCAGCTCAACGTCAGAGGCAACCACTAACAATCGTGAAGGAGCGATAGAAATGTAGATGCAATTGTCGCGCGAAGATCGCAAGGAAGTTCCCAGGCCGAGATAGCTAATAATATGAGGAATAGGGATGAGGACTAATAACCCGGCTCTTCTGCTCGAGCTTGGCAGTCCAGAGCTCTGCCGCGAAATTGGGAAGCCTGGGCCAACCGTTCGTCAATAGCTTTCACCATCACGGACCTGGTGCGTACGCGTTCACTCTTCACCAACCGGACGCGTTACAATGCACACATTCGCGACAGGGTGGACCGAATGACCTATGACGCGAGGATCTATTTGGACAAACATACATCAATTATCTCTCACACTGGTTTGCCTACCCGGCTATCCATTCCCAGCATTCCATCTCACCTCATCTCGTTCCATCCCGTCATCATCATTTCCTAGTAAGCCCGTCAAAACTCCAGCCTGGCTGCGCAATGTGTGCCGCCAAAGTAAAGATGAGATCCTCGCCACTCTCTGATCTCGAAAGCCGTTGGAAAGGAGCTTCTATCAACACCTCAGTACAGTCCTATCCAGCTCTAGGGATAGTTCAACATACTCTCATCATGTAGCTTTCGCGACACATTGGCACTCATCGACGTCCTACAGCCTGCTGTTAGTAAGCTATCGCCAGAACCCCTTGAGGTCCCCGTCATAGAAGTGTCAATACCTTGGCCCAATCTCCTCGCTAGTTCCTCTCTGAACGCTCTGTTAGGTTCTGGTCGATCATCGGCTTCTTCTTTTGCGGAGTAAGCGGTACTCCATCCACTAGCTCCTGATACTGGCAGACGGTTACCAGCGTCCCTGACCTGAGCTCGCTCGTGCTCTTCTACCTCGCGACTGTGTGCTGTTTCTTCGTACAATACCTTGCCCGCTTTCGGGCTACTACTGTCATTTTTCTCTTCAGCTGCCACACTACGTAGTTTGCGTGGGCCAAGGATATCGCCAAATATGGCGGCCATATTGGGTGGTCCTGCTGAGCGTGGTGGAGGGGGTCCAGGTGGAGGAGGTGGTCTTGCTGCTGGTGGAGGTGGAGGAGGCGGTGGTGGAGGCGGTGGTGGAATTGGGGGGGATGCCGCTTGCTGGGGAGCTGGCATCTGGATGCTTTGTAAGAATTCGGGCGTAAAACGATTTGATAGCGATTGAGCGCGTGGTGCGTGCGACATGATTGGTGAGGATGATCCTGAAGGACCTTCTGATACATCAGGAGAAGGGGGTGTATCTGGGTATGGAGGTCTGGCAGAAGAAGGAGGCGTATCTGGATATGAGGGTATGGTAGGAGAAGGAACGCTCTCCGGATCTTGAGCAGCCATGGCAGGAGAAGGGGGTGTCTCCGGGTATGGTATCTCATCATGAGCGAGAGATCCTTCATCTCCTTCCCGCTCCAGATAATCCTGGTCCTCATAATCCCCATAACTCCCTGGCATCGGCGAACCTGGAGCTTGATCGTAGTAGTCTGCTGCTGCACCATTTTCAGACGCATCATCAGCAGCCCGAACACTGGGCTCTCGCGGTGGTGAAGCCTCACGCCCATGAGGTTCCTTCTCAGGGACAGGTGGGGGCCGGCTGGGAGGTGCATACCAGTCGTGCGCTACTGGAGCAATTGGGGGTGTACGATTGGGAGGAGTATTGGCTCGGATAGGTCTGCTCGGCTGTTTTGGAGCCGGTGGAGGAGGATATTTCGGAGCAGTAGGGGCCTGAGAATTGCGAGCCACTGGAGTTGACTGGGGAATGTGAGTTCCACCAGATGCAGGAGGCTGGACACGAACCTTGGGAACCGGCGAGCTACGGTTCTTCTTCCTGTCTTCCTCTTGCCTTCGCTTCTCGGCTTGCCTTCGTTCCTCATCTTGCCTACGCTTCTCATCCTGCCTTCGCTTCTCATCCTGCCAGTGCTTCTCATCCTGCCAGTGCTTCTCCTCCTGCCTTTGTTCCTCAATTTGCTTTCGCTTCTCATCTTGCCTTTGTCTCTCACGAAGCTCGTCTTGTTCACGGCGGGGAGTCCCACTAGCCGTAGGAGGCTGAACACGAATATCAGGGATTGGCGAGCTACGGTTCTTCTTCCTGTCTTCCTCTTGTCGTCGTTTCTCACGATATTCGTGTTCAAATCGTTTCTCGTTTTCACGGCGGCGCTCGTCTTGTTCATGACGATGGCGTTCCTTTGCTTCCTTTTCAGCAGCCTTTTGTTTCGATTCATCCCCCCGCGTCTTTTCAGGCTTCCGTTCGGCCCATCTGACACGCTCTGGTTCGCTCTTTCGTATCTTCTCCCTCTCTCTCCTTGCACCTTCCCTTATTCTGTGACTATCATCCTTCGTATCCGTCTTCATCTTCTCCCTCTCTTTCCTTTCACCTTCTCGGAGTCTGTTACTGTAATCCTTCGCATCCGTCTTCTTCTTCCACATCCCATCAAAGACGTTCTCCAACGCACCTTTGGTACGGTGGCCGGCTTCATGCTCGGCTTTGATGTGCCTATAGGTGGCCATGAAGTGATCCCCAAGACCCATGGCAATGCCGCCTTTGCTTTTGTACTCGGGCAAGCTACCGAACGGTGTGCCATCTGGTCCTTTCTGCTGCCTTGTTGGAGATTGCGATGCGCCTATGCGACCTGGACGATGATCCGATTGTTTGGTACGTGAGCGATCACGCTGATGTGAGCTCCGGTGCCCTCCAGACTTTCGACGATGAGATCGATGGGGTGTACGAGATCTTTTACGTTCTGTACGTTGTGCTTCCTTGCGTCCACGAGATCGCGATCGGGGACGAGGCTCAGGAGCCAAATCTTCCCATGAAGTTTGATAACCGCTGCCGCCACTTCCTGGCCGATCTCCGGCTCCAGGCAATGGAGCGTCTGCCCTCCGATGGCCATCTTGCAAAGTATTTGCTGGTCCTGCACCACCGGTCATATGGTACTCGGAGTCATCGTTGTGAGGGGGCTCGGTGACTGGGTCGCGAATGTCTCTGCTCCGGTCGCGTCGGCGTGATCTGGAGCGTCCACCCCGTGAGCTGTGACGGTGTCTTCCACGATCGTCATCCCTCGATCTAGAACGGTGACGACGGTGTCGATGTCTACCACTGGATCCATGACTGTGTTCATCACCGTGCCTATGCCTACGGTGCCTCCTATGCCCATCCTTCCCACTTTCGTCCATATCGCGTCCCTTCCTATGTCTCCTGTGCTTCCCTTCTTCTTTCCCCTTCCCCTTCTCTTCTTTCCCCTTCTCCTCTTTGTAGCTGCGATACAACTTCACACCCTCAACCACAGCTTCGATGACCAATTTTGCACCACTTTTCTCGTGACGTTCAGAGACCAGGTCCTGGACTTTTCCTTGAACTTGCTTGCGGTACGCGTCGTTGTCAGGCATTGGTAGTGCTCAGGTTGCGCGTGCGGGTACATAGTCGGAAGGGAGTAAGTTGGGTTATGAAGGGAAAGCATGTGAAGCGGAAGGGTTGTGAATGTGATGATCGTGGGCTGAAGTGGCAGTGAGCGGACGCCGCTGCTGGGAGTGTGGTTTGGGTTATGGAATGGGGTGCTGGGCTAGCAAACGCGGTGAATGTGTGAAGATGATGTGGCGTGAACATGCAATGAACGAACGGGGTTCTGTCATGAATGGAAGTGCAATTGCGAACGAGATCAAGGTCTATTAGCCAGCAATCAGGATAAACACACCGATGCTCGATCTGTGGTGTAAGAGAGTCGAAGCGCTGAAGAATTGAGAAAGGGGTAGAGTTGATCTTATTAGAATTACGATACTGAAGCAGAAGTGGACTTCCCAGAGCTTAGCTCGTCGATTTCTTCTCGATTGTATTGTTGTGTCGTTCTCAGTAGGCGCGTCATCGCAGGTATCGCAGTCGTCGTGCTAGGAGTGTTCCAGAAAGACACTCCAGGTCCGCATGTTGGCCAAGTCCGAATGCCAAAACGCCGTTGGTATGCAGCCCATATCCATGTCCCTCAAGCCGTCTATGCTCCTTGTTCCCATCAAGATCATCCTCGTCCCTGATTTCACAGTATTACCACCCCCATTGCCATGCCCGTCCATCTTCCTATGCGTGCACCTACTCCTTCTTCTTCGCTTCGCCCTTTTTCACCCTGACGCCCTTGCCTCTGAAGTCGTTGGCGTCTAACGCATCTGTCTTCCCCAAGCCAAGGTCTTCAGCCTCCTTCTCTAATTGTTGCTTCTGTTTCTTTGCGGCCGCGTTGAGCAGGTATGGTCGGATGAGGAGGTATGCGCCCACGATAGCGATGATGCGAACCCAGCGCTGGGCGGTCATCTCTTCGAAAGACTTGATCGAGTTGTTGACCAGACGGTCCTTCCACTCGACCACGTTGTCAAGTACGTAGTCCATCTTGGCTATGTGATGTTTGTATTCGCGATTGTAGTTTTGTTGCGCAGTAGTGTGGAGGAGCGACGTTCGGGTGCGATTACGGCTTCGTTGGAGGGTGACGCGAGAGAAGTGTTCGGTGACTTTGTCGATAGACGGATGCGTGTGGAATTGTGCGTGAAAGGCGATGTTGACGAGGAAGTAATTGCGCGCAATAACAATAAATCACTCAAGCGTGGACCCCCAGGTGGCAGAACATGGGCGGTGACTTTCTCCCCGGTCATCACCGAGGCCCCGCTATTGGCCCGCGTTAGGCGCGTCGCGTCACTCGTCTGGCCGGCAATTACACGCGATTGAAGTTCAACCACGAGGCGATATGGCGTCAAACGATGATGCCAAAGCAGAGCGCGAAGAGGTAGGAAGTCTTTTGTCTGAATTGATAGTCAGCTTGGGCTGACAATATGCACAGCGGCTCAAGTCAGCCCTCTGGTACTCAATCGGCCAGTTCGTTGACGAGAAGACGTTGGAGAACGACCTGAATGCAACACCTCAGTTCATCGGTGCGCTTACTGAGCTTGTATATACCCAAATCGGTACGATCAACCTCGAGCCCTCAGATACTGCTTAGTCTACAGGGTGCTAACGCCATCACAGCAAATACAGCCCGCGACCTCGAAGTCTTCTCCAAACACGCCGGTCGCAACACAATCAATACGGACGATGTACTACTACTAGGAAGGCGTAATGAACAATTACAAGGCTTGCTGGAGAAGGAGCTCGAGGATATCAGAACAGCAGAGGGCAGGCGGGCAGACGGACAGCCAGTTGCTCGCGCACAGCCAGCCGCGGCAGGGAAGAAGCGAGGTCGGCCTGCTGGTACTGGCAAGGGCAAGGCGAAAGCCTGAATATACTCGGGGAATCATGTATGGACATGCCTGAAAGGTTATTGCGCTGGGAGTTTTGGAGTTGTGGTATGATACCCTCAAGCACGCCTAGTGAAGGCATACTCTGCACGTACATCTCGTGCAAACAATTATGATCGGACATTTTACGAGCCAATAATCAAAACTACGATAGTCATGCTCAACTACTGACTTTGTCTGTGATTGAGACTACTCGGTGCGGCCAGTATGACACCCCAAGGCTAGCCCCTGCATCCGAGGGAAAGCGCCGGTACGCCAATCGTTCGTCAGCACGCCGCGCCTTCCAAACCCGTCGTCCCCACGCTCCATCTTCTCACCACCACTGCATTCGTCGAGATGTGTTATTCAGCCGTAGAAACGATACACAGGCGCACGAAAGCGATGAAACGTTTGCTAATGACTCTTTCCATAGGCTAATTGCAATAGATCATTGTTTGTGGATGCTACGCTGTTCATCAGATGCAGTGCCTTTATCTGCATTGTCCGCACTTGAATTGTTACAGCAGTCAAGCTCCGCGTTGTTTCTTTGTTATAATCACTAAAAGGCAGGTCCTCTTTCTTGTCGCACTTACAGATCTTCCACATGTTCGCCTCCACCATGCACGCCCCAAACCGACCAACGTCATTAGACGTGGCTTCCATCGAACAGGGGAGCTTACCTTCACCAGCTCCAACATACAGCTCTACGTTCCTTTCGTATACCGCTCCTCATACGCCCCAAAACGCCAATTTTGGTTCAGCACCAAAAGGTGGCGCTTCAAACAACCCCTACCATCAAGCCACGCATGAGTCGCCTTCTTCGATCCCGCGTTACAACAAAGCAGCTTCAAAGGAGATGGAGGAAGCTCAGGTCAAGCCCGACTACCAGGACACAAACCACCCCCACTTTGCGCAGTCTTTAGCACCGGGGTTCCTGACCTCACAGCCTGCACGGAATCGAATGCCGCGAAAATGCATCCTTGTGCCGTGGGTGCTTTTCGCCATTTTCTTCCTCATAACGCTGTGGTTCACTTCGATCTTAGCTGGCGCAAGGTTCCTCTCCATCATCCATCCGAAATTGCCAGTTTCTACGGTACCGGAAATTCATATCTACGTCAATGGAGAAGTACTTCAAGGGAGCGTCTCTGTCTCTACTAGAACTCTCGCATTGCCCACGGACACTGTTACCTCCACTGCAAATACTCCAAGCCCAACGGCATCAATATCCGAACCAATACCTGACACGGGCAAGGAAATGGACGGTCTTTCTACGGTGCTTGAAGGACGTACCGTACCAGCGCCTACAGGTTTCATCTTCAAAAGACGAGACCCATGAGGAAGACATTTTCTCCGACTGAGGTGCTGCCCCACCCCAGGCGCCGGTGCAGCGCGTCATGAAGTGCAGCCTCATCAAAGGCAGTGAACTGTAGATTGCTTTTGCAATGAAAGTCGTTCACATGATTCATACGCAATCTCAAGCACATGTTACTCTATTTCTTTCAAACCACCGACTACTGCGTCAACGCAGTCTTGTGAAATTTCTCCGGATATCACACAACCCGTCAGCTGCGTCTACAGGCTTCGGCAACAAGAACACCGAAGTTTTCATGTTCATCGCGACTCGCTGCAGGATCGTGTTCCCAGCGAACCGCTCTTGCAGTGTTTTGAAACATGCGGCTGCACAGTTGAAACGGATTCGCTAACCCAAAGTAGCGAGACTGGAAACGCTCGCTTCCCAGCTTCTCCACCACCATGCCCACCCAATCTCGGATGGTGCCTGTCGCATAAACAAGCATCGCGGACAACGCCCAAAAAGGGCAAACTAGCACTTCATCTAGATGTACTGCTGGCGTGTCGCCCCTTGGCATCTGTCAAGGCGATGTCGTTCCCGTTGCCAGTGGCTGGGATAGCGTGAACGGGTGTCATGGAGGATTCCAGGCGGTTTGTCCTGATCTCCGGGACTATTAATCTCAGGTCTGGCGCCTAAGACAGGGAATAGATCTGCGTGGGGTGAGTACAAAAGCTGCCGTCGTCCTGACTTCTCCAACTCATCATTCCATCAGGCCAGTCCTTTCTTGCACAACACTCGTTCCGGTTTTTGCCAACTTCATTCTTTACACTACATTCATTTCGTGATCAGGCATCACTAGCATATCTTTGCATATCCAGTCACTGTACATATCACACCGACGACACAACTTTGAAACTTCAAGATGTTCACCAAGGCCGTTTTCACCAGCGCTCTCCTCTCCGCCGTCTCGGCTCACCAGAACCTTCACCAG